TATATGTCTTATTTGTATATAATTATTTGCATGTTATTCCCCCTCCCTCCCTCCACCTTGGACTGTGGACTTGAGAAAAAGAGACGAGATTTTGCTTTTCTTTGTAACTTCAGGACTTAGCACAGTGTATGGCACATCGTAGGTGCTTAATAAACACTTGCTGACTTCTTGATAGTTACCATCTTAATTAATAAGTAAGGAAACTGAGGCTCCCAAGAGGCTGAATGCCTTGCTCAGGAGTGCACAAGATAGTAAATAGTAATGCTAGGATTTAACCATTGTTCTTTCCATTCTATCTGTATCCCACCCATGTTTGAGGTCCTGACTCCATTGACTCTTTGGGGAATCTCATGATTTCATGGATTTCTGACATTGAGAAATAATCCTACATCATCAGCATTTCTCTGCTACCAATAGGGTGCTATTGAGATGTGCATAGACCATGGCCTCCTTGCTTAAGGAACTTACTAAAAAACTACCAACTATTATCATTATTATTAATTCTTTTTAAAAGGAGGTGAATATACTCACAGAATAGCTATCTTCCTCATCTTTTTCTTGGGGGATGGGGGATAAGAAGTTGGTGTTTAGAGTAGGTCAGAATCAGTATCTATTTTCTACCTTACAAGAGGCATGTGCACACATGGAAAACTGAGGCAAATATGGGATATAGGAACATACACAAAGAACCTGACAAGAGCCTAGACTAAGCTTGTACGTTGCTCAATGATATGTCCCTCCAATGTGGAAGGGTATGGGAGCGTGACAGTTTTTAAAAGATTAAATACGTGGTTTGGGATTGATGAAAGACCAAAGACTTTTGTATTGCTCAAATGCCTAACACTAATATTTTCCTGAAGAAGAGAATTGAAAAATACTGCAGGTGAATTTTTTTTTATTCTAAACTTAAACATCAACTAAAATGAGCATTTCCATATACAAGAAAGAACACAGGATTGTATTAATCTTTGTTAGGTAGAGTTTGCTTTTCTTTTTAAGTATATAACAGATCCAACACGTAACTTTCAAAGTTGTCCCACATGTCTGTGATTCCTTTTGGCCTTCCTTTTTGTTCTCTTCGCTACATTTTTTTCAAAAGGCTAAAGCAGTTACAAGTGACAAACTCTGAACTTTGCCAAAAATGGGCTGTATCCTCACAGGCAAGAAACAACTAACTGTTGATGTAGGAGTCATTTCAAAATCAGAGATAACTGGTTAACGCAAAGGTCAAAATTAACATTGAATTAGAAAAAAATGGTGAAGATGGGAGGCAAGCACTGCATGCAAATTACAGCAGTCCCATCCAATCTTTTTAAACAAGCTGTTCATGCTGAAAAATGGGAAATGGATAAAAGTAAAGACTTCCATTTAAACAGGTAGTTTAAAAATTTTCAGGATGAACATGAGAGAGCTTTTCCTGACTGAACTTGTGACAGAATTACAGTGTCTTAGAGTCGGAAGAACCTTTAAAGACTGTCTAGTCTTGCTCTTCCTCCGGCTTTCCTCCCCCCTTTGAGAGATCAAGAAACGAAGACTGAATTTCAAGTGTAGGCCATGCCAATCTCACTCACTTTCTCTTTTTCCCAAGGAAATTATACTGTTAGGTAAGGAGAATGCTATAGACATAGGATGTTTGGATTTCAGCAAGATAGAGACATGCCAGCCAGATGGTTTGGTAGTGACTGAATGACTGGACTCAAAAGTAGTCATTAAGAGATGGGGTAAGTGTGGAAGGAGTTCTCTAGTAGAGTTCCCCGGGGAGCTGTCCTTAAGCCCTCTGATGCAGAGATTTTTATTAATAACTTTGATGAAGCCACAGAGGCTTGATAGATTTGCAGACGACCTGAAGCTTTGAGGACTGGCAAACTTACTGAATGACAAGATCTAAAAAGGTCTCACCAAGGTCATAAGGTGGGCTGGATCCAAAAAAGTGAGATTTAATAGGGATAGATGTAAAGTTCTACTCTTGGGTTCACAAAATCAACTTTACAAGTATAGGATCAAGAAGTCCTGGCTAGTAGCCGGCCTGGGTGAAAGAATGTTCGAGGATTCCCATGACTTACTTGAAAGTTGACGTAGCAGCCAAAACAAATTAATATGACCCTAGACTTCATTTTAGAAGGGCATAGTGGGAAATAAAGGGAGGAAAAGCCCTCCTCTATTCTGCCCCAGTTAGACTACATCTGGAATACCATGCTCAGTTGTGAGAGCTATATTAAAAACTTATGAAAGATAACTTTATTGTTTTATTCCTGTTTCATTTTAACAGCAGTGCTATTTCTGGCTATGCCTGTCCTCTCCAACCCCCCAATTGAACCTTCTCTTGTAACAAAGAAAAGTAATTGAGCCTCCTTCCCCCACCAAAAAAAAGAAGAAACCAACAACAGCATTGCATCAGACAGGATATGCAATATTCTGTGAAAATTTGTAGTTTTTCTGCTTCTCTGCCATATGAAGGGAAACGTTTCATTATTTGTTCTCTGGGGATGTTAATGGTGTTTACAGTCACCTTGAGTTTGGCTTCCTGTGATATTTTCATTTATACAATTGTAGTCATGGTATAAATTGTATTTCTGGTTTTGTTCACTTTATTGCATCCATGCATATTAAATGCATTTTTTTTTCTTGAATTTTTCTGAAATCTTTGTATTTGTTACTTCTTACTGCACAATAATATTCTATTATATTCATAGGTTGGGAAGCTAGGTGGTACAGTGTTTAGAGCGCCACCCCTGGAGTCAGGAAGACCTCAGTTCAAATCTATCCTCAGACACTTCCTAGTTGTGTTACTCTGGGCAAGTCTGTTAACTCTGTTTGCCTCAGTTTCCTCATCTGTAAAATGACCTGGAGAGGGAAATGACAAACCACTCCAGCATCTTTGTCAAGAAAACCTCAAATGGGGTCACGAAGAGTCAGACACAACTAAAACAACCGAACAGCAACAACAAAAATATTCATAGGTCACAGTTTGTTCAGCTGATCTATATTCAGTGTTCAGGCCTTACTGAGGCTGGTCTAGTAATTCAAGTTTGACATTATTGAATTAAATGAGGTACTCATAGCCCATCTCACAATTAACAAAAAATGGTTTTACTCAACTGTAAAAAGGATACTTAGCAAGGATATAGCATTGCTTTGGGTAGACATAACCCCACTTTTCTCCATCCAGAAACATGTCTGATCATCAAGGTACAGTGTGGTTAGTTGTACATTAGTGACATATCCACTAAGTCTGAGGGCAATTGACTCCTCACAGGCTGGCCTTTTAGATGTCCAGGAAGCCCCAGGAGGGAGAAAGCTAGGAAACTAGCATTTACTAAGTTCATACTACGTGCCAGGTACAGTGCTAAGCACTTTACAGACATCTCAGTTCATCCTCACAACAACCCTAGGAGGTAGCTGCTATTATTTTCCTCATTTTAGAGTTGAGGAAACTGAGGCAAACAGGGTTAAGTGATTTGCCCAGGGTCACACAGCTAGTAAGTGTCTGAGGCTGGATTTGAACTTAGGTCTTCCTGACTCAAACCCAGTGCCCTGTGCACTGCTCTACCTAGCTGACACAGGTAACTAGACCAATCAAGTGTCAGGGATGACTTCCTTCCCTTTTTGGGAAAAAATCAGCCTAGCCGGCCTACCTGGCAGGAATCCCAGTAGATATTAGTTGTCCCCCAGGCCCAGAGAGGTGACTTGCTCAGGGTCACACACTCCTTGATCCAGTAGTAGAGCCAAGATTCGTACCCAAGTCCTCTCACTACAAATCCAATATTCTTTCAAGTATAACACAGACTTTATCTTTTATGGTGATTATTGCTTGAAAATACAAAATATTTTCTAAGGCTTTCCCTAAAACAAAAATATTGGATTTCAAAAATGCCACAAGATGGGAGGAGTAATAACATTCCATGGTATCCCCATGCCTGTAAGCATCTTATTATTTCATTTATTGGACAGATTTTATTTCTCCTGTCTTTAAAAAGCGGGGAAATGGCATGTTTTAGATTTCTCAGTCTCTTTAGAAAACCAAAACTCATTGAGCTGCTTCTCATTGTGTTGAAGTGATTCTTTTTTCTTTAATTCCTTGACCCTCCATGAGCTCCCAGAAGGCAGCAGGGACTGTGTCTTACTTAATCTTTGGATTTCTCTCTGTGAAGGGAACCATATTGTCTGGTTTTTTTATTTTTGTTTCTTTTCCTTTTTTTAAGTCCCAGACTCATAGGGAATTCCTTGTGAGAAAATTCAGGCTTACAAGATGCAACTTAAAGTCTGAGAGAGTGGCTTGGGAGGGCAAGGGGGTCTGGGAAGCTGCCCAGGACTGCAGTTCATGTCAGAGGTGGGCCTTGTACCTTGGTTTTCTTCACTCTGAGCTGGTTTTCTTTTTACTACCCCTATGCTCTTTCCTCTCTATCTTTTTGAGGGGCTAGAACAGAATTTATTATGCCTCAGGTGAATCCAAAAAGGAGGTGGCAACCATGGTATCAGAGAAGATAAAAATAGAAAAAGAAATGGTTAAGAGAAGTAAAGAGGGAAACCACATTTTGGCATTAGAACATTTCATTCCGCTTGGTTTTTTTTTTTAAGACATAGAATAAATTTCACACATTGTTTTCAAACCTGTCCTATTTGTGCTTCTTTCTGAACTTTGTTTTGTGCATTTTTGTGTCTCTACATAGTAGGTACTTAGTGGATGGGGCACTGAACCTGTGTTCAAATCCTGACTCAGATGCCAAGTGTGGGCAAGTCTCTGTGCCGTCTCATCTGTAAAATGAAGGAGGTGGCCTGGATAGTCTAAAGGTTCCTTCCAACTTTAAATCCATTAGATTGTAAGCTCCTTGAGGGCAGGAATTCTTGCTCTCTCTTTTTTTTTCTATCCTCAGTGCTTAGCACAGTGCCTGGTACACAATTGGAGCATAAAAAATGTTTATCGGTTGATTGATTATGATCCCACCGTTCTTCTCCCTGACTCAGTTTCAAGCTGTTTCCCTTTCCACCTCTCCATCCAGGTATTCCGGACAGACCTGATCACAGCCATGAAAATCCCGGACTCTTATCAACTCAGCCCGGATGAATACTATATCCTGGCAGATCCCTGGCGGCAGGAGTGGGAGAAAGGTGTGCAGGTGCCAGCAGGCACAGAGGCTATCCCTGAGCCTGTGGTGAGGTGAGTGGATCCTGTGGTTTCCTGTTTGGTGCCCCAGTTCTTGGTGGCTGTCAGGCTTGATTGATAATTTTAAGGATCATCTACATTCATACCTCATCCTGGGTTTAAGCCTGGGACGTTTTCTGGGGATGTCCTGGGGTCTGTGGATTTTTAGTGTTGTGGGAAGTGGTGATGGAGTAGAGTACTTCTCAGAGCTTTCTGATATTCGTTTTATAGATCTCACACTCTCTTTAAGAAAATCTAGTTTAAAAACCCTATCTAGTAGGTTCCCCTGTATTTTATAATTCCCATTGTAAAAGGACTCACCTTTAGAATGCCCAGGCCTTTTCCTCCCTTTGCAGTCTTCTTATACTCTCCTCCCTTTCATGCACTCCAGCAGTACTGTCCTGCTTACTGTTCCTCATACCCACATCTCTTTGGTGTCCCTGGCTGTCCTCCAGGCCTGGGATGCTTTCTCCCCTCCCCTCATCTCTCCACTTCCCTGGCTTCCTTCAAGATTCAACCCAAATCCCACTTTCTGAAGGAAGCCCTTCCTATCTCCGTACCTCCGTCCATCCCCACCATCCTTCCTCCTGCGCCTTCTAACTTAAAATCTTACCCTCTGTGCATTCTGCTTATCTCTTCTCTCCACATAGTTATTTGTATGTTGTCTCTTCCATTTGATTGTAAATTCCTTGAGGGCGGGAATCATGTTATTGCCTTTTTTTGTTTCCTTGTCATTTTGCATGGTGTGGTTCAGTAGAAAGTGATTTAATAAATGCTTATTGAAGACTTACTAACTAATTCCTTTAAAGCAGGGATCCTTTTTGTTCTCAGTACTCCTTAGATTTTTAGGAAATCTTTCCATACCACCTGTTCAGTATGAAAGTATATAAATTCATGCCTATGCACAGCAAAATAAAATAGATTACTTTCTTCTTCTTTAAGAGTATACCAAAATAGGGGCACCTAGGTAGTATAGTGGATAGACCACTGGCCCTGATATCAGGAGGACCTGAGTTCAAACCCAGACTCAGACACTTACTAGCTATGTGACTCTGGGCAAGTCACTTAACCCTTTTTGCCTCCAAAAAAAGGTATACCAAAATATCTTTGAACTTCATTGATTAAAATCAGTTCAGGCTTTCTAGAACATTTTCATGGGATGATATGGTTATTTACCAGATATTCCCTGTAATCCATAGATAAGCTAATCATGCCCCAGGTTAGGAACCCCTGCTCCAGCGTTTGTTTCTAGACCCTTTGCTGGAAGCAGAATGGTAGCGTTAGGGCAAAGAAACTGACTGAAGTGTTCAGTTACCAGTTGGCAGAAGTTCTAATCAGAGATGAATATCCACCCTCCGGACACAGGATTATGTATCCATTCCTAGGAGTGTGTGGGGGAGAGAGGGATCTGTGGACTTTGGGAGCTGGGCAGGAAAGGGTCTCTGGAGCAGGTGGAATTTATAAAAGTGGATTCTAATTATTTTTCTTGCCAAGTTCTCTTCATGTTGTTTATCGTGCTACCCTTATACCAACTAAAGAAATTTGGGATTATTATTCCCTTGAACCTGGATGTTCTGGTTTCTTCTTCTGTTAAAAATAGCCAAGACTGGCAGCTGAAGCAGGACTTTAGGATTGACTCCCAAGTGGGAGCTCTTTCTGCCAGCTTATGCTTCCTCATGAAGCAGGGAGTTCTTTAGTTACTATTAGTTGGTAAATCTGTAGACCTTAAGTATCTGTATGCTAGGTGCTGTCTGAAGACAGAAATGAAACAGTTTTTACTCTCAGGGAGTTTAAATTCTGTTTCAGGAGATGACACACAACATAGATGAGTATATACAAAATAAATCTAGGGTCATTTGGCTAGGGTGGCAGTGGGGGTGGAATTGAGGTGGGAAGGATGATTATGAAAGATTTCTTGTAGAGCTGAGCTTTGTTGGAAACCAGGGACTCTAGGAAGTGAGCTTAGGAGTGAGGAATCTGAGGCCCAGAGAAATGGAGAGACTTGTCTAAGTCCTATAGGAAGCTCAGCAGGGCCCTAGCCTTAGGGTTGCACTCCTGTTGCTTTTATTGAGTGCTCAGATTTTTCATTGAGCTCAGAAAGGAGCTTATCATCCATGCGGGGTTTTGTTCGGTAAAGAAAGTTGGCAAAGGGAAGGGTGAGAGGTCTTTCAGTACCTGAGGCAGCACTGGGGTGGCCTGAAGAGGAGGTAGGTGAGACTGTTGCTAGAAATACTTAGGTGGCTTACGGGCTAGGCATCAGTGGGGTTGACCTCCCCATTTTGAGAGAGATGGGCTTGCTCCAGATGAAGGAGGTCATGGTGGCTTTTTGAATTGGTGTCTAGATTAGTAGCAAGAGAGATGAGCTAAATAACCTCACCCAGGTTATCTAGAGGGCTCTGTTGTTTTTTTTTTCCTAGATCTGTGACTTCAAGATACTTATAAAACTTTAATGTTAGTGAAATACTTTGAGAATTCCCTATTGAAGCTGCTAATAACAATAGGCATCATTTCCTTTCTGTTTGTTTTTTAACTGAACCTGTGATTTCAGGGGTGTAGAAAATTCTGGATTAGAGAATTCCCTCTACCGGCAGAGAGTTGACTGGGACATTGAGAAAGTTAATTGACTTGTCCAGAATCGCCATACCCCAGATAGAGGCCGGACTTACAGTCATAGGATTATAGGTTTAGAACTGGAAGGAACATCAGAGCCCATCCAGTCTACCCCCCTCATTTTACAGATGAGGAAACTGAGGCCCAAGGAGATTTAAGTAATTTGCCCAAGGTCACACAAGTGGTAAATGTCCCCATAAATTTGAACCAAGGTCTTCCTGACTCCAAGGCTCTATTCAACTCTATTTACTATTATGCACTGCGGGAGACCTCACAAGTCTCCTGAGAGGGTGGCAAAAGGTCGTCATTACTCCTAAATGCCAAGGGTTCTTAGTTTGTCATTGTATATGTTTCTGCCACTGAATCCCAACCTCTAGTAAGCCTTCTACAGTGGTTTATGAGTTACAGTTGCCCAAGTGTTTGTGGTACTGGGGCCAACTTGGTGATGAACCTTTTCAGATTTAAATTGGCTGGTCCTTGGAAAAGAATACACAATATGTTCCTGAGCTCCTACTTCTGTCTTTCCATCTTAATAGGACTCAGCTGACCTTGTGTATCATTAAGGCCTCCTTCATGCCATGTTGTGGCACAAGAATAGGGTATTTGTGGATAAGGGCTGGTTTTTTGTTCAGTCATTTTCGGTCATGTCTGACTCTTGTAATCGCATTTGGGGTTTTCTTGAAGATACTGGAGTGGTTTGCCATTTCATTCTCCAGCTCATTTTACAGATGAGGAAACTGAGATAAATAGGTTTAAGTGACTTGCCCAGGGTCACACAGCTAATAAGTGTGTGAGGCTAGATTTGAACTCAGGAAGATGAGTCTTCCTGACTTCAGGATTGGCACTCTATCCACTGCACCACCTAGCTGCCCTATCCTGTGCTGGTAGCATCCCCATTTTACAGATGTGAAGACCAAGGCCCAGAGAAGTTAAGTGCCTTGGCTAAGGTCAGAGTGACAAGAAGGTGAACTGGATGATAGGTCCATAGATTTCAAGCTGGAAGGGAGCTCAAAGGCCATACCTCTTGTCCCAACCCTTCATTTTAAAGATGAACTACCAGAGGTCACATAGGTGTCAGAATAGGATATGAATCCAGGTCCCCTAAAACAAAGCCAGTGTTCTTTCTACTATACCACATTGGCCCTCTCAACTGGAGAAGAAGTAGGCAATTAGATTGTTAAAGTCAGGATTTGAACGTTCCTCAGCCTGCAGAGTGATTCACTTAGACCTCTGCTGAGATTGACTTTGGAGTCTGCTAGACTCTAGAACTTTGATATGAGGGAAACATCTGAAAGTCCCAGTAAGACTGAAGTATTGACGACTGAACGTACTATCCCTCCCAGAACTATTTGCACCTTAATATTCCTGGTGTAATGTAAAGGGCCAAAATTTGGGTTCTGGTTTGGCCAATATCTTCATGTATGAAATGGACAGGTCCCTTCCCCATCTGTAAAATGTGGGAATTGGACAGAGTGGCCTGTCAGATGCCTTCCAGCTCTGACAGACATTTCATGGCACTGTTAGAAAGGAAGAGGAACAGACTAAAATTAATCATGTTGGCTTTGGCATATAGTCAAGAAATCACTTGTCTTCTTCATTCAACACTGCCTGGGATAAGACATGCTGAATGCTTTGAGGGTCACAGATAGAGGGACATGGGTATTCCTGTCAAGGATTGACAAGGCTCAGGCCTCATTGGAGGCTAGACAGGTCCCTCACGTTTTTCACCTGTTTCTCCTATGAGTTGACCTGTAAGTTTCATTCTTGGTATGTCTTTCTACCAAAGAGATTATAGGGCTTTAGCGCAAAAATTGGACCTGGAGATTATTTGGTCCAATCTCCCCATTTTACAAATGAGAAACCTTCGACCCAAAGAAGAGTAGTCACTTGCTCAAGGTCTCACAGAGCCAGGCAGGAAGATTCAGGCCCAGGTCCTCTGAGTCAGATGTAGTGTTCTTTCCACTAAATTACATAGCATGAGTCAATCCTTGGGAGAAATTTTCACATTTGGCCGTTGGGTCTCCATTTAAGATGAGACCCATCCAAAGCCACTGTATCACTGTGGATTACAGAAACTAGGGAATGTTGTCCCTGGAAGCTCCGGTTACAGCCAGCACTGCCTAAAATACCTTGGTGTAAACTTTTGTACATGTGCATTTGGTTCCCAGGAGTAAAAATTTTCAAAGAATTGAAACTTTAATGAGAAACCAAGACACAACAGAAAGAAAATGATAGAAGAGAGACCATCATTAGGCTTCCTGGGATGTTTGGGGGCATCTATTTTTAGATGCCTTTGATATACGCATCATTCCAGCCTGGATGCAGAAGTATATTTCTGTAATGCCGAGGGCAGATTTGAGGTTATTTCCAGATGAGAAATGACAGCATGGGCTGATCTCTGTGCT